TATTTTTTACTTTAGGAACACATATCTCAAAAACTAAAAGAGATATCTCCAATCTCCTTATTTTTTGTTTTGTTTCACTTTTTCAGAAGTACAAGATTAACAGAATTTTGTTGCGATAGATAAAAACATTATTATAAGTTAATTCAATTAGTTTTTTGATCGGAATATTCTTGCAATAAATGAATAATTCCGTAAAAATTCAAAACACTCAGATTCCTTGAAACTTTCAGCTTATATTGTAGAATGCATATAGGCCAGTAAAAATAGGTTTTTGCGCGGAAATAATTCCCGGAAAGCTGGAAATTGTTATAATCCTTTTGTTTAATCTAGAAGTAAAAGGATTTGAAGTTTGTCCCATTTTTTCAGGTAAGCTTCTGACCTGGGACCACAAAACCTTGAAATTTAAGGTTATTTTTTAGTATTTGCTAAAACGTCAAAAACCCGTCCAGCGTACACAAAAGCACACCGTAAAGGAATTGTAGAACATAAAATTCCCCATCCATTGAGTCTGGTGATGAAAATCAAACGAATAATATAAGTGATTTATAGTAATTGAAATAAAGTAATTTTATTAAGAAATTTTTGAATAATGCATATTTATATTACTTATAGAAAATGGATTCCAAATACATTACTATTTACAAAGTAATTGATACAAATTACATAAAAACTTATCATATTTTTTGTCTCTTTTGTGGTGAATCTGGAATTGCAGCTCTAAAAAATCTAAAGCAATAAAAAAAAAGACAATAAATTAAATCATCTTTTTTCCGCCAAGTAAAACAATGTAATGTATGTAAATTTGGCAACTTGGCGGCAGACTTTTGCTTGGTTTTTTTTTTATTAAAGTTGTTGGTGGATAGTTTCAAAAATCAACTTTTCTAATTAATTAGTCCAACTAAGTATAATAATTTCAAGGTAATCAGTAAATATAAAACCATCACTATTATGATTTTATGAAATGTGGCACAAATAATAACCATCGGTACACTGCATTTTTCAATGGAAAGTATCGGGGAATATCACTGCTCTAAAGTAATTTTATAGTAAGTAGTTCAAATCAATCGGTATACCTGAAAAAAATACTTTAAGTTTTAAAATAATTTTTCAGCTGTTCCTATGAATTTCTCTAACATTTAAATTAATTGAGATTTAATCGCAGCTGGTCCTTCTTTTGTTTTGATTTTAATCCCATGTTATTTAAATTGGCCAAAATCGTACTTTGAGGTCTTGCCAAGGGTTTATGGGTCAACATACCGACTTGAGACCCTCAAAAGGCACATCTACACATAAAAGGTGCATTGTCCCTGAAGCGATTGTTCTAGAGCGATTCTGTATTAGTTTGCTGACTTTCGAGTGAATTGGTGCTATGAGTGCCATGACACCTCCTAATTTTAAAACGTTTTTATTAGCTCGCTTTCTTGTCCGGTACAAAAATTGCAATAAATTTTAAACTAACTAAAATACTTTTTTTTCAATGGCACGTTTTTAAACGCAAAAGTAAAAATAATTTATAAATATGTGGAGGGAATACATACTTAAAAGATTTAAAACGAAAAACGTGGGGTGCATGCAATAGATAATATGTCCCTAATAGTTTAATATGTAAAGATAATTGTAAATCAGCATGCACCCCACAAATTATTTTTTACTTTATAGGCCTAGTGCGTTTAAAAACGTTGCATTTTTAAAAAGTTTTCATTTATAATTTATAATAGTAGTGATTTAATATTATGTACATATCTGATATCTTCAGGGGTAAAAAGCAGTTTTGTATTCTGAAGACATTACGACCAAAACAAGTCTATACACAACACAAATCGCTCAGCGACTGCGACTCTGACTCCCCTCAGAGCAGACCCGCTACAGTCGCTGTGTTCAGCCGCTAGCCGCTCCAGTCGCAGTCGCGTCAAGGACAATGGTCCCATTTGAAACAACGCTAAACAGTGCTCAGCTACTATCGCAAGAGTCGCTTCAGGGACAATGCACCTTAAGGGCTTTCAAACAACATAAAAAACAATAAAATTGAGCCAGTGGTTTGGGCTGTAGGTCCGTCAACATTCAAGGAGAAGGACACGGCAAATTTGTGAATTTTCAAACTAGATTTTCTTGGCTCAAAAACAACCGTTTTAAATTTTTTTTTAATTTTGTTGAGAATGAGTGCCCCTATCCAGTAGATGAATAATTATTTTAATAGCTTTTGTTTCTTCAGAGCTATAGACGAGTAAAAAAGCCACTTTGTCACGTCATGTATACTGTATATACACTGCAGCAGCTGTGTACCGCTGGGGGACTTGGCGGGGCGGAACGCTGCCGCGTTCCTTATTGGTTCGATTTTCATCACTCAATGGATGTGAAATGTTATGCTCTACAATGTTTATGGCGAGTTTTCGTGTAGGCTGGGCGGTTTTTTGACGTTTTAGCAAAAACTAGAAAATAGCCCTAAATTTCAAGGTTTAAGTGGACCCAGGTCAGAAGCTTAAATCGGACAAATTTCAAATCCTTTTACTTCTAGATAAAACAGAAGGATTAAAACGAATTCCAGCTTTCCGATAATTATTTCCAGACACAGCCAATTTTTAAACTAATTTTACTGGCCTAATATAGATCAACCAATTATAAAAAGTTCAATGAAGATTTATGGTTTTTGAGATGTTCCTAGCCTTCCTTCCACCATGGTTCCTAGCATTGCAAATATAGGCTGTCTGAGTCCCTTAAACGAAGGCGACCTCGTGGAAACAGATGGTTGGACCACGTGAAGTAAGATAATGCAGAGAGATGGAGCCACAGTACAGGTTGAATTGGAGAGGATTTGTTGGTGTGACTAAATATCACCTGTGATAGCCCTGGGAGTATACAAAATGTCATTGTTAGCGAATTTCCCATATAGGGAATAAGCTATTACCGTAGTACTCATGGTAAGACCTGGACCCGGGACCGATTTTTTTTTCGTTTTGAGGTCCCTAGAGGCCAAAAACACCATCCGTTCAAATTCATATATAGATATATATGTGTGTCCGTTAGCGCGATAACTCGAGCAAAAATGATCCGATTTTGATGAAATTTGGTACAAACGTGTAAACCTACGTTTATTCGAACGAGTTCGCGAACCAGCATGATCGGACCATGGGAACGGGGGTTTATGGGGGCTTTTATGGGGTAAAAATGGGTTTTCCAATTTTTGACTAAAAAAACATAAAATTTTGTAATTTCTTTCCTAACTATTTTGTAGAGCTTAAAAAAACAAATTTGTAGAGGCTGTGTTTTGTTTACAATTATTTGTTTCTTGTTATTTCAGTAATAACATTGCTTAACCAAATAAAAGATTTTATCATAAACAATAACTCATTCCCTCAAACAGTAAAGAAATTGACCCTAAAATGATAGAAACAAAATGTTGTCTAGCGATCAGTGTCACATAAGCTTCAAAATTTACTTTGGGATGAGAAGTCTAATTCATCTCTGAATTGTGTTGGTTAGTCTATGTCAGAAACAGCAAACAAATACTTATGTTAATTCACATATATCCTTCCTTTCACAAATATGGTCATCCTAGCTACATCCAATTTTTGAAATTTCTTCCACAAATTGAAAGCTGGAAATGAAATACCACTCTATAATAAATTAGCCTAATACAGTGTGTAAATTAAGTATTGAAACAAATCTGCATTTTTTAAACCGATATAGATAGAAATATTCTGTTTGTGGCAATAATCGATAACAAAGGTTCCACAATTTTTTACATAAAAATATTTTTTTACCCACCTAACAGGGTAGGGGGTAAGGGGTGACATTTTTTTTTCAAATAGTAACCCCTTTTGAGTGAACCCTCATTTTGAAGTATTTGTTAAAAGAAAAACAATGTCGTAAATCCGGGGTGAGATAGCTACCTCGGTTGCGTCATTATTTTTCTTTTAACGAACACTTCAAAATGAGGGGTCACTCAAAAGGGGTTACCATTTGAAAAAAAAATAAGTCACCCCCTACCCTGTTAGAGGGGGGTTGAAAAATATTATTGATGTAAAAAAAAACTGAATATTTCTATCTGTCAGTTTTTAAAATACATATTTCTTTCCATTATTTGTGAAATTGGTGCTTTTTCACATACAGTAAGTCAAATTTTGGAGTACCTGCTATTTTGGCTAGGGGTGAGATATTCACCTTGGATTTGCGTCATTGTGTTTCTTTTGACAAACCCTTTAAAATGAGGAGTCACTCAATAGGGGTTGCTATTTCAAAAAAATGTTTCACCCCTACCATGTTAGGGGGGTAAAAAAATATTTTCGATGTAAATATTGTGGAACCTTTGTTAACAATTATTGCCACAAACAGAATATTTCTATCTATTCCGGTTTTAAAAATACAGATTTGTTTCAATACTTAATTTACATACTGTATAATTCTGTATTCAGTTCAAGTCCTGATTAAAAACCAATCTCTTTTCACAACTGATCAACCAATATTGAGCAAAAATATTAGACAATTTTCACATTATTTTGGTATTTTATATACTTTTAAGCCCCCAAAGACAGGTGCTTGTAAATAACACATTCACTGTGTACCTATATACAGTCAAATCTCATAGCTTGGACACCTCAGTGTGCATCGTTTTTCTTTGTATGAAATAAGTATAAAATTGGGTTGCAATACAACATTGAGAGAGGTTACTTTCCCAAAAGGTAACCGTTTACAATTATTTGCTGTGACAGCATTTTAGACAATTATTGGTGTGCTTTAAATAGTACGCATTACTTAAGTATTGAACTAAATTAATTTACTCCAAAAGTAGGCCTACTTTAAAAAGTTTACGAAAACAACATTACAATATTCATCATACTACACTTGTAATGAAACAAACAAGTACAAAATGTATACTAAAGTAAATTGAAATTCACCCAATAAGAATCTTGTACCTTCCAAATTCCTAATCACATGATTACACAGAATAAACGAAGCCCATTTAATTAGGGAAATGAAAAACCAACTAATTAGATGGAAATTAGCAGTGTTTATTTGTTAAACAATAAAACATGTCGATGAAGATGGAACATAAACGTTGCAGTTTCCAGGATGTAAGTGTTTACAGTTTGAGCTTGGTACGTCTCCAGTGTCTCCTCTTGGCATTGTACCTGTAATAAAAAAACATATAATAGAAATACCTTAATTTTCTTAGTTATCCAGGGTTTACCTTATTGAATTAACCAGTAAAACACCTAATAACCACATTACATCAAGTAACTTGGGTTAATAAAAACCGTAAAAAATTTAATTAGTTAGACATTGGGAACTGGGAGCTGTTTGTTGTGGTATGGTTAGTTGGCTTGGCTATAGACATCCCAGAAACAAAAGAACCCTGGGCCATTTCGAGAGGCGCAGGTTTGAAGGGCACGCCACACCTACCAGCACGAACCACGTGATCTTTTTGTTTCTGCGCAGGTTGTTTTGATCTTGGGATGTCTATAACAGTGTTAATTGAGCCGGTAGTCTCTCATATCTTATCTTGTGATAGCTTGGAAAACAATAATTGTTAATTATTTTACGAAATAGATTTTGTGTAATCAGTAACAGGTCTTTATGAACTGAAACAAGCTTTAAATAAGCTAACTCATATGTGCTTGCCCAGCTTTTATTTTGGTTAGGTAATTGCCCAAGAGGTGAAATTGTTGTAATTTTATTAACCTTTAATAGCATTTTATATTGAATACGAACATGATAACAATTTATGTCACAAAGGCATTAAAGTGCCAAAAGTAACATCTCTGCCGCAGAAAAACCTGCACATTAGGCAAATATCTATTTTGATTGGATTTTCACTTGAACTCAAGTCCTCGAATATCTTATATTTATTACATAAGTTATTTAAATAGTATTAGCAAATAGCAAAGCAATAGCTTAGCTGAGTAAGAAAAAATAAATTTGATCAAAATACAGTTTATAAACAAGCAAACTAACAACAACTAATTAATTTGGTGAGCACTTTTTCGTCTTAAAACACCACGTGATTTCGTAACTATCGTTAATCGTTAGTTACTCTATCGATTCACGACATCATCTACTATCGATGCGATAGTACTTGTCGTTTGTCACAGATCCTGTAAGAGGCTTATTGTGATTTATAGTTCTATGATTATGATATGGACGAAATGAGCACATTCTATTATAAAATTAAACTGTCATAATCTAACCTTATTAACGAAACTTGCTGATGATGAATAAATCGAATTAAGGCTTAGCCTACTACCATTGACTATTGGATACAGAAGTAGACGTCCCATCTATATGGACCAGCTGTAGCCAATTTTTTGTTAAAAAAGAACGTAGTTATGTGAGCCAGTCAAAATCGTTTAAACAAACAAAATCTTATCCAACAAATAACACTACCGTCACTAAAGCTTTGTTCACACAGGGCGAGTTTACTACATACAAGTAAGAAGCCGGCGAGTGTGCTTGTATGTATTCGTCCACACAAAGTTTTTTCATTCACTTAACAGCTGGCTTCTAGACCGCTTGGTGACAGTTAAATGTTTATACTGTGGAATCTTGCTGGTTGTGTTGGTGTTTATGTGTGTATTAAAAATAATGTGGACTGTGATAACATTTGTTGTTACCAAAAGCCTTGTGGAACATCAAGGATAAGAACTATACATTTTACATACAAATCGTTGAGAGATATGTTGTTCCCTCATCTCATCAACTCATTTTAATAACTTTTGAGCGCTACAACTCTCACTGGAACAAATCCTCGGACATCTCCGAATAACGTACACAAGGCAAGCAACTGTGTTCACACTGGGCTACCGGTTATTTACACGCTAGCTCGCTGAAAAGCTGAGAAGGCGTGTTAGTTGCCGACAGTCAACTCTTTCCACAGCTTTCTTAAAAGCAGCCTTTAAGGGGGTACCGTTCACTTTGAACTAGTTAAGAGATGCATTTAGTTTGTTAACTCGCTTCATGTGAACAAGGTTTTAGTTGTCAATAATTTAGACTAGGTCCAAATGTATAAACAACTATTTTGTTTATTTCACACAAGTTTTTCTAGGCCGTGAGATCTGCCTGCGTGTGAATTTTTTAACAGTCAACACCATAGAAACACTTAAAAGACTTCTATCTAGTGTTTTTATCATAAGACAAGAGCAAAAATGACATTCAGCGATTTTACTTAAAATAAAAAAAAATACCTGATGGTGTTGCCTGTCCTCATCCTAACCCAATGGGGGATGGGTCTGTTCTGTTTAAGCTTCTTGGCAAGCTTCTGCTTAATCTTGAATGTTTTGTGAGCCGACTGAAATCAAGAAAAACCAGGTTAAAAAGGGAATATCATAGTAACGGAATCAAAGAGATTGATAATACAAGTCTCTCCGCAGAAGATCCCAGTTGTTATTTTGCAAAGCAACATAACTGCTTTATTAATATCAATCTTGTCTGGTTCCATAGGCGGTTTCAGAGTACAAATTGCAATTACACATAATCTGTAGGCCTTAACCCCCTTCTTGGTGAAGCGGAGACACCAGAGGTCAAATAAGGGACCATGGTTAAATATTCACAGTAACTTATTTAATGTGAAACGATTTACAGTGTTTTAATTTACAATAATTGCTACACCCAGAATCAAAGATATACACAACTCATGGATCTCTGGAGTATGGGCCGCACAGTCTAGCTCCCCCACTCCCGACTGGCAGAAGCCGTCGCAGCCCATACATTCACCATTATAAAACGCACCTTCTTAGATGCTGCTCGGTTTAAATGTAGAGAGATAAAATATTAATAAGTATGTTAAAGTCTTTTTACTATTGAAAGCTTTATGTATGTTTTGTTTTGTGCAAAAAATAACTTATTTGATCTCTTTTAAACCACACATTTAACTACATTTGAGTTTAGATTTTTTTAGACAACTGCTGATATTGCTTGTTCCAAATTATCCGTGGTACATTAATAAGTAATGGCAAGGAATGGATAGAAAATACAATATGTGTACACAATTTCAAACCCATCAATTGTAGGCTATCAGTAAAATCCTATCAATATTTGTATATTTTTTAACCCAAATATGAGTGTAGCATGAGTGGCGCGATCTTGTAGTCTCTTCTTGTTGGTGACTAAGGCCGATATGTTCCTTAGACACAGCTGTTAATTAATAGCCCAGCTGTGGAATCTGAACCACATTTCCCCTTGTAATTAACAAATTGATCTAATTATCAGGATAGTACTGTGGATAGTCGTAATACTAACTAGTGTGGATCATTAAACTAAAACATATTACACATTAAACATTTCTGACGCATATGCGATACTTTTAATTTTGCTTTTTTGTGACCTATTTTGTAAGATACATTCTCATTACACAGTGAAAGAAAAAAGGTATCGTGTTTACGTCAAACATAATTAGCCTAGTAATAATTCTATTCAGAACGGTTTAATGCGTGATATGTTTTCGTTTAGTGATGGGTATGAAATTACAAATTCTGTATTGTATTTTCTGTCCTTTCTTTGCCATTAGGCCTACTGATTATTTTACCATTACAATTTGGAACTAGCGGTATCATCAGTATTGTCTAAAACATCTCAAATCAATTTTAGTGAATGTGTAGTTTAAAGAGTTCAAATTGGTTATTTCTTCAAAAAATAAAACATATATGGTGAGTGTATGGGTGCGGCGGAACTAGACCGAAAACAGCGCCCGCAGTGCCATTGAGAGCGCAATCCAGTAGTTCTTTACACTATTGGCCAGAGTAGAATTGTGCTTTAAGTTAGGCTACATATTTATTTAAGACCACCCAGTAATGAGAAGATGACCTAAGCTTGAATAAAAAACATTTTTAGACTTACTTAGACTACACATTTGAGGGTTGCATTTAACTAACTTAACCTCACTGATAAATTTTACTGCTTTATACGTAAGTCAATCGGCTCTCCTTAATATCTTTTCACAACACAAGTCAGATTTGGTATTTAAAGGCCTAGAAAACCTGAGCTAAAGCACCTTTTCATTTTTATTTTTAAAACTCTAAGTTAGCTTAGGCCCATATTATATATTTCTCAATACGGTATCTACATAAATTTGCTGTAGGGATAAGAACATGATAGTAGGCCTAAACTATATGGTTTGCTGATTGAAATAAAACCAACGTATGCTTGGAACGTAGCCGGTACCATTGGAACTGTATTGCCAAATGGAGGGGAAAAGATGGGACAAAAAGTTGATTTTTAAGATTGACATTCGGCGATATTACGGGGAAATTTACTACCAACCTACACCACAACAAAATGCAAGTCACATACTACACGCTAACATGGTATCTAGGGCAGCTTTCATCAGCATTGACTTGCATATTTTTGGTTAGTTTAAGAAAAGTAAAGAAATGGAAACTATCTCTAGGTTTTACTGTTATACTGATGCTTTCTTTACTATATAGGGCCTATATAAGCCTACAATAAATGCTATATTATTTTTTGTTTTTTTTTTTGGAGCGACAGACAGTACAGTACCTGTTTAAAATCTCCTCCAAACAGCATTGTTTTTAAGCCCAACGGCGGATTAACAAAGCAAAAGTTTTCCATTTAGCCTTAAATCGTTAATTATTTAGTCAATGTGATTATTTCATGTCAAACATTCCTTCAACAAAAGAAAGAAAGAAAGAAGAAAGAAAGAAAAAACATGCTTTATTTTTCACGAAAAAACATTGACAAGATTAAATAAAAGCATATATCAACAATGGTTATAAAACCGTCTGTTGTGGTTGGCACAAAACAATATTCATTTAGTCAAAATAATAACAATTTCTAAAGTATAAAAATAAAAAGCTACTTGAAAAACACATCCAAATTTAACTACTCTGAGCATGAGGATGAGAGACAGACAATTTGTTACATACAGTTAACTAACACAATTAATATGAAATACATTAAAACATAAAACAAGGAATTAAAAGAAGTACAAAATCGATAATTATACAATGCTCTAGTCAAAGTTAAATTCATTTATCAATGCCCATCGATATTTCCAAGCGGATTTCAAATATTTAGCAAGTATCCGCCAATTCATCCCATTTAAATATAATTCATAATTCATTGGACTTAAAGTTTGTTCCCCAAAAAACTGTTTTCTTAAATGCTGAAAGACAGGACATTTTGCTATGAAGTGAAATGTTGTTTCATTTTCCTGAAGATTGCATAACGAACATAAATAATTTCGTTGTAACCAAGGCTTATAGTTTAAATTGATAAGTTCGGCTCTAGCTTTTATGGCCCAAGAGATAACGTCAACATTGTTATCACAGAGTGGACTCCTGTCGCCAAGCTCAAGGTCAAGGGACAGCAACTGACTGTGGTACAAAGACGTACGAGCCCTTCCTACACAATCCCCCCAAAATACGGCTTTTAAGTGTTCCTTTACACTTGTCAATTCCTCTCCTATAACTGTAAGATCAACAAAACAACTTCCTTTAAATTAGAAGCAAAACTTCATAGTTTATTCAGCCATTTTAAGTTCAATTCTTTTGATTTGAACAGTAAAATATTTTATTTCAACTTTCGAATACGTAACTAAAATGTCTTAATTATTATAGGTAACGTTATTCGTCGTTTTATATAGTAGGCCTATACAATACATTGCAGAATTGGCCGGTAGGCCTAAATGAGTAATCCAAATGTAAATGCTTACTGGCTTAGGTTTTATGCACTGCGACAGCCGCGAGTCACGTGTCGTGCGGCTGACCAAAATGTCACGCGACAGCGACACTTTTTTGTCGCGTAAACTCACATCCGGTGGTGGGGGAATTAAAGAAATCAGTCTGTTCTCAATCCAATGTTGTGTGTTGTGTTTGTGATGTAGAAGTGATTATTAAGTAAGTTGTTTAAATATAGACCCTGTAGTGTTGTACACGTTAATGACAAAACCCCGGTTATTTAAACAACACATACAACTTACAGTTTGAATTGGGTCAACACTCTTAAAAATGTCATTACATAATATAATTATGTAATTTATATTACAAATAAAGGGTAGAGAACTCATTTATATACTAATTATTAACATTAATCAATATAAATATATGGAGAATATACCACATGGAGTATAAAAAAGACTACTGTCGCGGTGCATTAACATGCCCATTTGATACAATAGAACTTGAACCGCGCGCGACACATTTTTTGAAGCTGCGATTCTAAAACCTGTTGCAGGTATTTAGAGATCTCCGAGTCGCTTGTGCGGCAGTTTGTCGCTGTCGCGGTGCATAAATGCTCCCATTTAACTCAATAGAACTTGAGTCGCGCCGCGACACGCGACTGTCGCGGTGCATAAAACCAGCCTTAATGATGTAAACATGATGATGATGATGGCTTAGTGATGTAATGTATTGAAGTAAACAAACATCAGCAGAAAAGTCTTCTAAAGCTATTCTTATGGAGAACATTTTGCGTAATATCTAATTTTGTATTACAATTTTTCCCGTCACGGGATCGAGACTTTTAATTTGAGCCCTCTCCCGTTGTTCTAAAACTTCCCAGTCGCCCACAATTTTTACGCAAAGAATCAGCTAACGTAATTAATACATAGACTAGAGGACCCATGCTGCTCTGCAGCGTTAAAATAAATATAATATCAGAATTAATCAAATTTATGATTTTTGATTGAGTAATACAGTAGGTATCTTGAGTTTAACTGATTCAAACGATTAATGGCTCAAATTGACGCTTATAATTTACTGATTATTTTAAGTCTAAATCAAAAGACTTCTTGTTTAAGGTTAGAGTTTGTAATTAGGCCTAGTACGTAAGTTCGCCGACAATGACTACAATTTGATACTACAATAAAATTGGTAGAACCATCTGCAATACAGTCCAACCTCGGTATAACGAATCTGAAGGGACCGAACTGAATATTCGTTATATCAAGGATTTCGTTAAAACAAGGTTTGTTATATTGAGGTTAGGTTTGCAGGAATTTCGCTAAGTCGAGGTTCAGAACCAGCATCAGACAATATAGGTCGGGATTTGACCTCATTAAAACGCAGTTAAAGTAGCATAGGCTACAATACTTTACAGTGTTTACAATGTAAAGTAGAACCTCGATTATCTGGGGTACTAAAGTGTAGGGATCTTTAATACTGCGCGTATATTACAGATCAGTTCTCAGTGAATGAAATCAGTCCTCTCTCAGTGTAACATAGCGCTCATGCAGCGACGACAGCAGACAGGGATGTGTTAAAATGGAGCAGACTAATGTTAGGCCAAGCGTTGACGTCACCTTTCCATTTCATTTGATAAAGAAACTGATTTTTCTAAAACAATAATGGGGTGGAGGTCGTTGTATCGAGGAAGAGACGCAGAAAATTCGTTAAGTAGAGGTTAAATTCGCTATGTTGATGTTCTGACAATGATAAATTCGTTATACTGAGGTGTCTTATTTTAGCTGGGATCATTAAAAATTCGTTAAATCAAGGTCGTTGATATGGTTTAAAAAGTTCGTTATGTAGAGATAAAACATACATTGTGTCTTCTTATGGAGAGTTCTTGGGTAGGCTATTAAAAAAAAAATTGTTAGGCTATATCAAGGAATTTGTTATATCGAGTTTCGTTATGTCAAGGTTAGACTGTACAAATTATTATATATGGTTCCCTTGGTATAATAGTTATCACGTTCACTGCGCTACGAGATCCCGAGGTCTCGTAACGTACCTAGCCTGTTGTGCGGGACCCATAATTTGGCTTCTTTCCAAAAGTTACGTACAGTTATTGTAGAGAAATGAAACTTGTACATAGCCTATATAACTTAATGCATTTTTCTTGGTATATCAACTAGTAAACATGAAATGAACGAGATAGATAGATCTCGTAACGCACTGAAGTAATAAACATTTACTTTATTACGATACGAGACCCCTGGGTCTCGTATCAAAAATACTTAGTTGTTCCAAGCACTAAGTAAATGAGGCTAATGGGGTGCGTGTTCATTGGATTGGTAACCATGGTAGGCCTAACCTTTGTTGAATGCTTGGATGAAAGAAGGAAACCAAAGAAATAATTCAAGAACAAAGAGAAAGAATAATGGCATTTTTATGCTGTTACCTTTATGAGTTATCTAATGTTTTATAGGTTAACATAAACTTATTTATCGTTTTCAACTAACTTACAGGAACATAAATATTTTTTGACTATTGACGTGTTTCTCTTCTAAAACAGCATTTACGGTTGCGTATTAAAGGTCAATGGTAAATGACCTAAAATATCACCTCTGTGCAATGTTGTATTTTGATGTAAAAAGCCTGGTCCCTACTAAATCATACAAAAATAAATGCTAAATAATCGTCCATCCGGACAAGCAATTTCCAATAAACAACTTTGTACATATCTTTGGTGTTTGTTTTGAGATTGGAATCCCTTATCCAGCCCTTTAAGTGGTGCAAGTCTAAAATAGCTTCAAGGTTGCACCCATCCCTTCCCCCCGCCCACTCGACTCACTGTTGGCACCATAGATATAATACGACGTGATGTAGGCCTATTATATCTTATAGCCTAGAGATCTATGGTTGGCACGCACTCATTTCGAAGTCATAGCCCAACCCCACAATTATAACGAAATAAAAACAGTAGGCTACTTTGTAAACATATTTCATTTATCCTAGCCTACAAATAAATAATGGACAATATTACAGACGTTCGGTACGAGATCTCGAGGTCTCGTACTATAACGTCATAACTTATTTACTTTCTGTTCTGGCTGAAGATTGCACTGTAACTTAGTTATAAGACGAAATACTGAAAAAAAAAACATGTTTACGCGCCGATGTTATCTGTACGGTACATCGATGGTTGGAACCGATGCTCTTCCCTAGTAGGCCTAACTTCTAGGCTAGGCCACCATGTCAGAGAATTGTTTCCTACCAAGTGCGACTTGAATGCTACCTAACAGTAAAATACAATATTAATATGAAGATGTATTCAAGAACCTAAAATTTAAATGATGTTTGAATTATATTGAGTTCTCATTTACAAGCTAGGGCAGGGCCTAGATGCGATTGCTGTCATCAACCGAGGTTATGTTATCGATTAATTGATTGTAAGAAGCAATGTCAAAGTTACTTCTTATTTTGACTGATATTAACAAAATATTAAGCAAGCTGATATAAAAAGTAATTCCATTGAACAATATATAACCTCGATTATCAAAGAAAATAGGGATACTTAAAATCAAAGATGCACGTTTTCCTACAGTCACCCGAGAAAGTTGGCTTCCCTGTACTGTTTATAGTACAGAAAGCTGCTAATTGCTGCATATTTATACTTTGCCGCACGGTTTATACTTTGCCGCACATCAGGATTCCAACCAAACGACACAAAACAGCGTGGTTTTATTATGCACGTAATCCGTGTACGCTTGGAAATAGGTTGGCAACACTTAAAGATAATAATACTAACATCAGCTGACTGACTAACCTTTCATTTCGCGTTTATAGTTAGTTGTTGTCCTATTTTCGTTCAACGCTTGGTTAGAACTAGAACATAACCTAAACTTATTTCATCCTATTTAAAAATATAATTAAGTGAAAAGCGGTATTAACATGAACGAACAAAGTGAGAGTGATACGGAATATATTTTAGGCACACCGGAAGAATTAGCAGAAACTGCTAAGAACGTAAGTTTGAATTTGTTACCTGACAAATCAAAAAAAAGGTACGAAAAAGCCTATGACCAGTTTTCATCATGGTGCGCCGGTAAGAAAGTACCGGCAACAAAGGTATCAGAAAATGTATTATTGGCATATTTTGCAGAACAATCAAAAGTGATTAAGTCTTCAACTATTTGGAGCATTTATTCTATGCTCAAGAAAACAATCCAAGTTAAACATGATGTAAACATAAGCAACTACAAAAAACTTATAGCCTTTTTGAAAAAACTGTCTGTAGGCTATGAGCCTAAAAAGTCAATGACGTTGTCAAAAGATGAGGTTGAAACCTTTATTAAAACTGCTCCTTGTAATATATAAGGCTATATTACATTGCCAGAAGAATATTGAGTTTGTGTGTGTGGTTGGCTGCACTGCTGAGTGACGTCACCGACTAGGAACGATGGCACGAAGCGGAGTGGAACGGCAGTCGGATCGGAGTTGTCATGCAATTTAGTAAGTTGTCCCAAGTATCGGGTTCCCTTGTAACTTATTAATTATTAGTACAGTTATTACATTTGGCGACGAAATTAAATCCGCGTGTGCGTGAAATGTCTAGTATCGGTCGGATATCGGAGTTTAATCCGTACGAAGAAGATATTAGTTCGTATTTGTTACGTTTGAAACACTTTTTCAAGGCCAACGAGGTCAAGGACGTGAAGCAGGTCTCCATCTTGATTACTGTAATAGGCCCTAAAATATTAGCCGTCCTCACCGATCTTATTTCTCCTAAGAAGATTGATGAAGAATCTTACGATAATTTGAGCAAAATCTTGGAAGATCATTATTCTCCTAAACGCCTTGTGGTCGCTGAGCGTTATACTTTTTATAGTCGATGCCAGAAACAATCTGAAAGTATTGCCGAGTTCGTAGTGGCAGTGAAGCATTTGGCTTCGACGTGTGAATTTGGAACATTCTTATCGGATGCACTGAGAGACAAGTTAGTTTCGGGAATTAAAAATGAAGCAATTCGTCAAAAATTACTTTCCGAAGAAATGGATTTGAAGAAAACGTTGGCTCTTGCACTCAGGCTTGAACAGGCCGAGAAACAGACAGGTCTATTCTCGAATACAAGTGTTCAGGAAATTTCCAGGTTTCAGGTCAAGAAGAATGCACGTGTTTCCACCGAGGTTCAATTTTCACAGTGCGGGATCTAAATCAAATTCAAGTGATGTGAAGGGAGATATGTCTCAGATTAATAAGTGTTTTCGTTGTGGCAATCCAGAGCATAGGGCTAATAATTGCCCGTATAGTAATTACAAGTGCCATGGGTGTAAAAAGTTGGGTCATATCAGTAAGGGTTGCAGGTTCAAATCAGAAAATCCAGTGAAAAATTCCATAAAAGTGGTAAATTTAAAATCCATCAGATGGAAGAGGAAAATAGGCCTAGGCCTAGTGATGGTCTAGATGAAGGTGAAGTTTGAAAGTTTGTCTTTGTACAGTATGAATTCTGGTGATAATGTTTCTGCCTTTAAGGTAAGCCTAGAATAGAGAATGTATCCGTATTAATGGAAATTGATACTGGCTCGGCACTAACTGTGTGCCCTCAAGAATTGTTTAACAAATATTTCCCTCATGTACAATTGAGTACCGTAGATATCAAGTTGCTTACATATTCAGGCAATGAAGTCAATGTTATTGGACAAGCTTTAGTCAAAGTAACCTACATGGACCAGACTTATCAGTTACCTATGATAGTCGTTAAGATTGATCGTACGAACCAGCCTATGCTTCTAGGCCGTAGTTGGCTACAACATATCGCTTTTGACTGGAAATCTATTTTTACTTGTAATTTTAATAGCCTATCAGGCAGTGTTAAATCTAAGGGTGGTGAACCTAACCTAACCCTAGGTAAGGCCGATGAGCCTAAAGTCGTTTCTGGTTTGAAACAAAAGTATGCCTCTGTGTTCAAAGGAGGTCCTGGTGAAATTAAGGGAAATTGTTTAGATGGGGGTGACCAAGCGTTCTATAGTAAGTTATATATCATTGGAAACTAGATTTTTACCTGAAAATAATGGTGCAAAAAATTTTTCTGCTGCCACAAAAACTGAATTTACTACGATTTTTTAAAGTTTATTACTGTAATGCATCTTGTTGGCTGGTCTCTGTCGCCATAACTTTACTGTGAATTGACAAAGAGGACAAGGAGGTAGAGGCCATTTATAAATTCAACTGAGCGTTGATTATGAACTACTTCAGTTCTTATTTAGACATGTGAGGTGGGTAGGTTGGGTGTTATGCGGACTCGTGACTGTATTAAGTGTTTTGAAGTTAGGTTAGATTAGGAAGGTAAGTTTAGGTTATAATGAATCAAGCTGTTGATTTATATTATCTCCAGACTGTTTATGCACTTTGTTAAAAGTATTACTAACAGAATAAATAACATTTCAAAAATGCGCAGCATTTTTGAAATTATTATTTAATGTGTTTGTAGTACTTTTTACAAAGTGCATAACAGTCTGGAGATAATATAAATCAACAACTCGATTCATTATAACCTAAACTTTAACTTCCCTAATCTAACCTACCTTCAAAGGACTTAATACAGTCACGAGTCCACATAACATCCAACCTACCAACCTCACATGTCTTTTTCAACTTATAAACAAAATTTTAAACTGTACGAGAAGTTTGGTTAGGTTAGGTTAGGTTAGAATAGTGTCAATTTGTTGTTTATTCATTTTATTAAAACTGCCACTACACTAAATACAAAATTACTTATGGACAAAACAGTTAATGGTCAAAACCTAAGCTAAGCCAGCTTAGGCTACCTTTCTAAGTGTGGGTTGTGAGGGTAATATTTACATTAAAATGGCATATAATCAATTAATACAAATGTGAATTGTGCTATTAACTTCGATTATACAGTGTAAACATTGCAGTGCAGATTCAATGTTCCTAATATAAAACATTAAAATAAACTTCAAAAATCGTAGTAAATTCAGTTTTGTGGCAGCAGAAAAATTTTTGCACCATTATTTTCAGGTAAAAATCTAGTTTCTAATGATATATAACTTACTATAGAACGCTTGGTCACCCTCATCTAAATAATTACCAAATTAAGGATGTTGAGGCACGTATTGTGCTAAAAGAGGATGCTGTGCCAAAATTTTGTAAATATCGCCCTGTTCCTTACGCGTTGCGTAAATCAGTAGAAGATGAGATTGATAGGATGATTGCTGAAGGTATTGCTTATCCCGTTACTAGCTCTCAGTGGGCTACTCCTATTGTGGTGATTCAGAAGAAAAGTGGGGTGCGACTCTGCGGGGACTTTAAAGTAACCCTTAATCAAGTGATCAGTCGGAACACTATCCCTTGCCTCAACCGGAGGACATTTTTGCTACTCTAGCAGGTTGTAGCTGGTTTCAGTTTTGGACTTGGAGGCAAGCGTATCTCCAACTTCCTGTGGCGGAGGAGTCCCAACCACTCTTGACGCTAACTACGCACAAAGGCTTAGTGCGTTTGCGACGTCTGCCGTATGGTTTGTCTTCGGCTCCGGCTCTTTTTCAAGCGGCCATGGACAAAATTATTGGTGGCCTACCTGGGTCAGTGGCATATTTGGATGACGTACTGGTGGGTGGATCTTCGCAAGAGGAAGCGTTGTCACGCTCGGAGAGTGTTCTTCAACGTCTTCAAAGTTATGGAGTCAAGGTAAATGATTCTAAATGTAAATTCTTACAGCCGTCAGTACAGTACCTAGGCTACTGTTTGTCGTCCAAAGGGATCAGCCCGCAGGAGGGTATTTTGGAGGCGATTCGGAACGCACCCGAGCCAACTTCAAAGGAAGAGTTAAGAGCCTATGTAGGCCTTATAAATTATTATGGGAAGTTTATTTGCAATCTTTCAGACAAACTTAGCTGTTTTTACGATTTACTTCGTAAGGATGCACCGTGGGTATGGTCATCCCAATGTTCTTCTGTTTTTCAAGAAAGTAAGACATGGGTATTGTCTTCAGATGTCTTAGTTCATTACGATGTAAATAGACCATTAGTTTTGACTTGTGACGCAAGTCCACGAGGTGTTGGTGCCGTGCTTTCGCACCTAATTGATGGAGTAGAGAGGCCTATTGCCTTCGCATCGAAATCCTGAGTGCTAGTGAAAGAAATTATTCACAGTTGCATAGAGAAGCTTTGGCTCTTGTTTTTGGAGTAAAAAAATTCCATAAATATATTTACGGTAGGAAAAATGTCGTGTTACAGACTGACCATGCTCCCTTTAGTGACAATCTTTGGAAATAAGCGGGGAGTTCCCTGTGTCCCCGCTGCGCGTCTTCAACGATGGGCCTGATCCTCTCCGCCTACAGTTTTGAAG